TACAAATATGTGTTTTTCCGCCACTCTACACTCCAAAATTTTATCTTTCACCGCAATAAAGGGTTAACGACATCTCGTTCTCTCGCAATTTACTTGGCCGACAGCCAAATCTTCCATATATCTTTTTACTACCACCTCTCCTCGTCTGGAATTGCTCCATTTCTATAATCTTTTATATCTGTCGGACACGGCAGGGGAAAAAAAACTTTCCGGCAAATGATTTTCGGAATTGTCGAAATTATCGCACTTGCGATCGCCAAGAGAACCTAGTTCGTGACGCGGCACAAGGAAAAGAATCTTAGCGTGAGTTGAAACGAAAGGGGGAAAAAATCGAGATAGAGATTCGATTATCCTTTCTTTATATGTATATAAAACTTAAATCAAAACCCGTTGAACTGTACACGAGTATCGCGTGCAACGCATATTAGTCGGTTAGTTTTGCCGATTGAATTTTAAGATAAATATAAAAATTAGGTGTATATTTATTAGATAGACGACATTTATAGCTGGAAATAATTTTGCATTATTTTTTATCTCTGATCGAAAACATTAATTTAATAATCGTATATCATTATTCATATTTATATTACACAGAATTATCAGATTTACGAATTTGTATTTTACAAATTATTGTTTGAAGAACTTAATATTTTTTTTTTGTTTACAATGATTGAATCTCTATTTAACGCTCAAACTCTTTTTCATTCATCGCATTCAGATGGATTATTAATATAACGCTGTTCGTTATTTCTAGCGACAAGCGTGAAAAGTTTTGCGCGAATGGAATCTCCCAAATCTTCGCGATGAAAAAAGCTTGTCGACAGAAAGGTTTTATTCGCAGCCACGAACCTTCTCGATTTATGGGGTTGGAAAAAACGCTCGAAAGACGCTTTTGTGGGAGTTACCGCGCAGGGGAATACTAAGCTATATATCTTACCGCCGGATTACAAACACTGGCCACGGTTTTGTATACAGTGCCATATACGTTTATGTACGGTTTTGTATATAGTGCCACATACGGCATTCATTCGGGTCGCGCGCTCTACTATTTATGAACATTATCCACAATTGCCAAGCTCTTTTCTTTGCGATATCAATAGGAATATCTTGCACCAAAGTTCTTTTGCCGGCGAACACTGGCCCGAGACGAGAGAAAAGAATTTCGATACTGGGGATTAAGGGAAGAAAAGTTTTTGCGAGTGTAGCCACTAGTGGGAAGGAGAATTAGAGAAACTTGCGCTTCGCAGAAAGAAAGGAAAAGAAACACACATTGACGGAATTACGTCAATATATAAGAGACTGCAGTTTACAATAATAAATAATTACAGGCTTAGCCCTTATTTTTGTTTAATTACAATAATCATTTATTTTGAATATAATTCAAATATCTTGCGCCTGACTAATTTCGAATCGTACTACTGCGTGAATTATATCTCTATTTATCGAAGCATATTCTACACCGCAATATTGAAATACATTTCAATAATATAAATGTAATATAATATTATAAATATTATTGTTTATAAGAAACGTTAAAAATAATTTAACTACTTTGTGTATATTTAATATATACATTAAAATGATGAAAAACAGGCAATCATGTCAATTGTATAATAAAAAATATCGTGTTTATCTCTATGTTATTTATCCGATTGATGTTATATTTGTCTTTTATTTATAATTCAGGCTATATATAAGCCCGTTTGTGTAAGTTTCTCGGTCGAGATTATTAAACAATGCGGAAATAAATTTTATTATTGAATTCCATTGAGAATCTCAGGCGGTTTTTATTACAACCGGAGCTTTACCTGTTGTAAACCCGCTGTGAGCATTGCTCCAGTTGCAAGGGCGAGTTCATGAGTTCCAGGTCGTTGCATTCAGATGCGGTTAAACTTGGTAGTTCTCCTTCACAGTCGAGCTTCACGCCAGTTCCCGTGTAAATGACCCTGATCGTTGCTTTCTTTCGCGAATACCACAGCCTGGTACGACAGCAAGAAGATTGCGTTTTATCTTAGCTTCCCATCTCGAACGATTATTGGTGCAAAATCAGAATTTTGCACGATTCCTTCGAGAAGCAATTTTAGCTTCTAGCAATTATCTTTTTATCACTTCATTAAAAAGAATAATCAATAGAACTTTGTAAAAAGAAAATATGATTTCACAACATAAATAGATGACACATCAACTACATTATAGCAATTTTGTATATTGAAGGATAAAATTATTCAACTTTGTTTATCAATGTAACTATTCCGGTAGAATGATTATATTGAGTTTTGATTATATATATGATTATATTAAGTTTTTTTACCAACATGATTTAAATCTGCAGAATTCTTAGTGATTTTATTACGAAACCTCGATCGATGGACAAATTAGCGTTACAAATGGATTTTCGACATACTTCGAAACAGACGGGATAAACTTATGATAAAAAGAAATGTTAATTTTCTATAAAAACATGTAGGCGAAACAACCATAAATGGCAGTGAACGAAGCTACCTCCTTCTCTTTATACATCATCGATCAAACTAAACAGACCCCTATCTTTCCGTTCCTTCGTTCGGCGCGGTCTTATCTGATGCAATAAAGATGCCCTTTGCACGCGTCTGATAACGGTCACTAAATCGCGCTGCGACTAAGTGCCCGATCGTGACTAGAAAGACGCGCGTGAGGGTGAATTTTCTAGGCACCTTCATTTTTATTCGGCCTCTCTCGCCCTTCAACGGTGGCTCGCCGCTATGGTGTTCGTGTATCTAAACGCGGAAGATGCGACCGATAGAAGCGCGAGAAGCATACATCCAAGGCGAATTTGCATTTTAAGTAAAGCTGAGAAATTTCGTCAAAACTTCCCCGACGCGTTGCATGCGAGATAACGATGTTTCGTGTTAGTGGTTAAAGTTGACTCGCTAGATTTTCATCAAATTTTTCAAGAATCTTAGAAATAATGGATGGCAAAAAAATTGTTAGCCACCTAAAATTAATATATAATGTTTTTTATTCAAGTGAGCTTTTTATTCATCTTATTTTTTCTCTAACAGTATTCAAAAGAGTGATATCAAGCTTTGCAAGAAAGATATTAATACTTATCAATATTCAACATAAGAGAGAAGATATTTGTGGCAATGTATACTTTTAATATAATGCGATATTTTATATCTTTTAATATTTTCTTGTTGGATGTCTTCATAAATTTCCACCTCTCGAACTATTTCGCTACAACACGCTGTATAAAAGTATTTACTGGAAATAGCTCGTGCCGTTACGCCGGAGTATCATTCTCGCGAACAATAAAGATGAACGTATTTCGGGGAAATGTCTTATTACTCAGCATTTTCGCGTTCCCAAAGGGAGACGTAGTGTCGTTCTGGCGGTAAACGCTAAATCTCACGGCAACTGGATTTGAGGCGCTTCGGGGTGCCTTGGCAGACTCGGGCGGTTCACTCGGGAAATATGTGGCATGACACGTGGGTGGATATGATGCAAACCACACATTCCACCATGGTACGTGAGGGATCTCCGTTCGAAAAATATTTGCGACGGGAATATCAGCGTCGCGAATATCGGGCATGCATTCTGCCCGAACATTGCGGCATATTCTTTCACTGAAAAAAATTTTAATTAATTTTCTCTGCCCCCTTTCCCCTCTGGTTATTTCATTTGCATCGAATAGTTTGTTATTAAAAAATTCCCAAACGAAGGAAAAGGTCTCCTATCTGCCCTTTTCCCTTTTTTTTTTAGTTAATGTCCTCTTTATAAAGCGGAATCATGATATTTGTCTATCGAGAAAAAGAGCGAGAAGTCTTTCATCAAAGACGAAGGCTGTAGATTTATACGGGACGTAGGCGGTGTGAGTTGCGTGGGGCTCGTTTAATGCGTATTTGCGTGGGATTTCATCGCGGAATATTGATTCGCGGAACTTGACATTACAAGTAGATCGTAACCCTCGTCTATACTTGTAATTACATTAAATCAAGGGTTCGTGCCGAGATCAGCACATTAATCCGTTACGATAACCTGACGTCATAGCTTTGATTATTACGACGGTATATAAGAGTGAAAAATCTTTAGAGGATAAAGAAAAAGAATTGCTTTTATTTTAAAAGAAATAATTTCGCAACTTTTTAGCTTAGTTTTGAGCAACTATGATAATGTAAAAATATATAAACACATGAATTTTTATGCCGAAATCACCGAATTCTGTAGCATTTATGTGGTGTATTTCGCGATGGTTCATATACTTCGTCATTCTTGCGAATAAATCACTGCTCTCGAATGTGGAATATAGGCGAAATAAGTTGCAAATTATGGCCTGATATTTGCCACGCCGGTTGAAACAACTCGGAGCGTAACCGCGGGCATTGGAAGCGCGAGAAAGTTACAGAGAAGATGAATATACGGAAGAAATAAGAATTGCAAAGGCAGAGAGCGAGATCGGATTGTAAATTTACTGCGAAAAGCGGCAGATAACGGCGGCCAAGACCGTCTTGCGGGAATTCGAAAGTTTGCTAGCGTAGTAGTGGTTACAAGTTGTGCACGGACTATATTCCTCGATCAATATGATGCTGAACAATACGCTCATATATCTCCGCGAATGTACGATCTTCCCTCTAGAATTGAAACATCGACTGAAACAATGTTGCAAGAGTAATTTTGCGAACTTATGGATTTCGCAGAAGATAGCGTGGGATTTTATTGATCACCTATGTGATCGATCCTCTAGTGATTAATAATGACAAATTCATACGTGTGGTTATTTCATTTGTCTCGAATTTGTGATTATATATAAACTTTGTATTATCGGCTACTGAGAATCATTTTCGTACGACAAAAAATATATCATAATTTCTCTCTTTTGCTGATTGCCACAAATTTCCAATATAACATATTCACGATTTGTTCTAGATTCGAAATAAAACTTCGATCTTCTAGCGCATTAAGAAGTAACAGGTCTCTGAACTCGGAGAATTCTTAACACACAAATAACTTTTTGATTTCAGAGGTGAAACTGGAACTCGAAGACCTGATGTCCGACATCAAGAAAACTGCTAACAAAGTGAGGGCTAAGTTAAAGGGTAAGTTTCTCTTGAATTTTCGGATTTGTTCCTACCGTGAGATGACAATTAAATCGACTGAGTTCTCGCGACTGTCGAAACGTGTACGTTCCGCACTGCGACATCCGAACTTTGTTTCTTGCGTTTAGTGATAGAGCAGAACATCGAGCAGGAGGAGCACACGAACAAATCGTCGGCGGATCTGAGGATACGCAAGACTCAACACTCGACGTTGTCCAGGAAGTTCGTCGAAGTGATGACGGAATACAATCGGACACAGACCGATTACAGGGAGCGGTGTAAGGGGAGAATACAACGACAGCTCGAAATCAGTGAGTATATGTATATATACCGCGATTGGCCGTATTCAGCCTGAATGCCTATTCGAGCAGAACGGCTCTTTCCAATCTGTCGTCGCATCGAGTCCGCTCTCGGAATACACGCTCATCAACCTAATGCTCGCGTGCCTTTCCATTTAAAAAAAAATCGAGAGAAACCGTCGAACTATTTCTGCCAGCAAATTATAATAATAATCGTAGCGATGAAACCAAGCAATTTTAGAATATCAATATTTATGATTTACGAGTTTCTTTTAAATTTTGCTGAAATATTTTTGTAATAATTACATTGCAAAATTGTAGATTTATCAGTTTATCGCGTTCATAATTCCTCTCGTTTATATCGCTACGAAACAAATACAATAATCATGATGAGATATAACACACACAAGATAAATAGTAATTATGATGATGAGATCAGCATTTATGCGATGTCGATATTTACAATCCGAGCGATCGCTTTGTTCGACAAATAATAATGTGCACAACACAATAGCTCGATAGAAAATTCATCGTGTTTGCATTTGCGGCGATTGCATCTGTTTGCGAGACAAAGAAATCCTTCTGTTTTCAGCGGGGAGAACGACCACTAATGAGGAGCTCGAGGAGATGCTGGAGCAAGGAAATCCAGCCGTCTTCACGCAAGGGGTACATCTTTAATGATCTTTCTGTTTACGTGCACTTTGTAGCTTCGTGAGAAACGTTAATAAGCGCCCGCTGCCTTTCCCACTCACCTAATTAATCTTGTCACTTATCGCAGATCATCATGGAAACGCAACAAGCAAAACAGACCCTTGCGGACATCGAGGCGCGTCACGCTGACATCATTAAACTCGAAAACTCCATCAGGGAGCTACACGACATGTTTATGGACATGGCTATGTTGGTGGAGAGTCAGGTAAGATCGAACAGCTTCATGCAAATTTGCCCCGGAAACGGTTTGCTAGTTTAAGCAAACAATTATTACGCCATTCTTCTTTTCCCGGTGAATCGCGAAAGTTTCTTTTTACGGAATATAACGAATGTAATGTTGCAAAAAACATTTTTCTTTTTACCGTTATATCGATAAAATATTTCTTTATTTGAAATATATATATAGATATTTTGTTGCAAATTAAACTCAGCGGCAAATTACGTGTATATCATAAATACATCAAAGATATTCGTCATTATGGATATTGATATATGATTACATCGCGTATATAAGCGATGAAAGGATAATCACAATAGTAATTAAACGTGTAACTTACTGGAAGAGTCAGATAAACTCGTATTAAGTTACAAATCGTTTCAGCAAATATGAACATAATCTCTTCCAGTTCACAAATCAATTAATAAATATTTTCGTAGGTAATGTTGCAATACGCGCGAATTAATTGATATATGTATTTGAGGAAGCATTGAAGACAAATTTAATTTTTTCTGAAACTAAATAGAAATTAATTAATTACATTTCAGTCTTATCTTTTACAAAATAACAAAATATTGTTTGCAGATTATTTTTTATAATATTATATTTCATATTACTTTGATTTCTTTTAAATCTGATAATTATATTTATCTTTTTATACAATTTAAGAGAAAATATTTAATGCAAATTTAAATTCAATTTTGAAACGTTAAAGCAAGAAGTGATTATGAAAAACAATTTTGGTTTGGTTGCTTTTTCAAATGCATATTTCAATTTTATCTGTCCCAAATTATTAATTTGATTAATGAATAAGATGTTTTATTGCAAGATGCTTGAGCGGCATCTTTTTTTTTTGTAATTGGCTGACATAACCATTTTTGAATCTTGCGTTACACAAGTCTAATTGACATGATAATTCAAATAATATTTCCGTCTCGATTGCATAATTTTTTTATCAGTTGTTCGCGATTATTTTTATGCAACGATGATCAATAGGTCATTGGAAGCGTAGCGCGACGCAGTGTAACATTCTTCTTCTCTTCGACAATATTTCTTAGCAAGCCCCATAATTTAACGTATTTATTGCCTGCTAATTAAAGGGAAATTTCTTTATTGTACTAAAATCTCAAATTTATTTATAAATATAATTAAGTGTGTAATTATCACGTTCTTCTCTTTAATGCTACTAAAAATTTATTCAATTATTATAATTTATTCAAAACGTTTTTCGTTTTTATGAGAAACCTGAGATTTTAGTCCATTACGCTTTTTCTTTGCATGATAGTAATAATTAAATAATAATATATACAATAACAATAATAATATAATTAATCTTTTTACGTAATGGTACGTTTATTCAAAGATCTTTTCTTATGTATTGAGGGGCAAAGTAATGACCGCAATTATTAACTAAACTTATAACAACTTTTTGACACTATTGATAGCGTCAAATTACAATTTTTGATAATTTAAAAAAAAAATTGTTAATGATTGCACTATCATTATCGTATTTCATAAATTGCAATTATCAACGCCGACGTTTGGCGTGATGAATTCTTGGCGGTCATTACTTTTTTGTTTATCAAAGCCGGTGTGCGAACTGCTGCACGATAACAATAATGAAAATCAGCGAGCAGTTTAATCACACTGGCTTGCCTTACTCTCTCGAGAACTAACACTCTTTCTTCGCCTGTGTTACGCTGTGTGGATTCGCGCCGCGCCTCCTACCTACATTAGGGCGAGATGATAGATCGCATAGAGTACCACGTGGAACACGCGGTGGATTACGTGCAGACGGCCACGCAGGACACCAAAAAAGCACTCAAGTATCAAAGCAAAGCCCGACGGGTGAGTCCTACCCAGATGTCACGCGCCGAAACCATTGGCATTTCGTTCGCGTCTAATTGGTCACTCTTTTTTTTTTCTTCCTATATTCCGATCCGTCTTCCCCCCCTCCTCGACCCGTTGTTAATATTGCCTAAACCCCCTTTGATTTTTACCTCTTACCCCCCTTCCATCAACCCTGCTCTATTTATGTTACTCGCTACTCAATTATTACGCTTCTGTTGATATATCCTCGCTGTAATCTGTACTAATTGGTGTACACCTACACCTACCTCTGCGACGCGTAAACAACTAACGACGACGCTTTGTGGGTTTTTTTTATTTTTTATTTTATTTTATTTTTTTTTTTATTGAACTGTACGCCACTTTACTTTCGCCGGTTGCTGGCATTCGCGTCGGTTCGCGGTGATCATCGTTTACAACGATATAAATGTATATATATGTAAATATATATATATATATTTATATTTTACTACATACATATATACTGTTTGTGTGTGTGCGTGTTATTCTCTCTCTCTATACATATACCTATGTAACGCTCTCTGTCCTCTGTCGAAACATGGGTGTGCTAATTGTGTGCCTCTGTCCATCAATTGCTCTGTCTACTATTACTATACTATTACTACTATACTACTACTCATACTACTAACCTTGCGTATTAACCTTTATATTAATACGGATCGTGTGTGGTTGTGTATCGATGTGAAAACACGACGCGCGCACGTACGTCGCGCGACAACGACGCTGAGGGTCTACGTTTTCCCTGCGGCGGGGATGCTGCTTCTTTCTCTACTCGTCGATTATGTGTACATAAATGTAACTCTGGGTGCATCCGTCCCCGAGGTTGTCCCCTCGATGAGCGACCCGACCCGACCGTCCCCCCGTCCGTCCCGTTCCCGTCTCGAGTCCCGTTCTCCGCCCCACGTGCGGTACGGCAGGGTGAGATGATGGACCGCATTGAATACTGCGTGAATCAGACCAGCGACCACGTGGATCAGGCCCGAGGCGAGCTGATCAAAGCCGAAGAGTATCAAAGCAAGGCTCGTAAGGTAAAGAACATCAGACACCAAACAGTCGCGCGGTCGGACTTGGGCCGAAACTGGGTGAATCTGCTACTCGTATTGGCATAATCACAGGGTTGTTGCTAAGTGCTTCTTTGAGGCGAGGCAGATTTTGCGAGTTTCGGAACAGCCCGGTCGACATGAACGCTGCTAAATCGCGAATTGCATTCGTGGAAATTTTTCTAACGAGAGATATCCATCGATTTTATATTAGAAGTGTTGAATTTCGAAACAATGCATTTCTTCCTGTACGTTAGCATCGCGAATTTTGAGTTTGCATTGAGTGAGATGACAATTCCACCAGAATCCATTGAAGAATAGTCTCTCTTTCTACGAGTTGACTCAGAGGATTTATCAAACGCCTCTGAAGTATGGTACTCGTGATAAGGAACCGCTTCGCTTGGCGGCGTTCATCAAAAGACGACATCGCGAATGAATGAAACCGGGCTAGGAGCAAAAAGGAATAAGTGCCTATTAAACGGGATTCGAGAGAGATTTCTTTGAAGTTTTATCAAGCACGACGGCGGGCTTGAAAACATTATCGCGTAGTAACATTCCTCCCTCGCATTGTTATCATTTTCTCCTCTCCGCGCGGCGCGGTCTTCGCGTAGAATTTTGACCTCTCTCGCCATTGTTGCATTTCCAATGCGGACATTTTCACTTCAGTACGCTTCAAGCGGGATTCGGTCGGTTAAAAATAGTAAAATTCTTTAGATCCAAGAATATCTGTCGGAGAAGGAAAATATAAATTTCTATAACTTACAAAGTTACGACGAACGAAAGTCTGTGAACAATTTTTCGCGAATCTTAGTATGTAAATAATATAGCTACTGAAACGATCAGTTTTAAGAGCACTCGTGAATATCTGATGATTTCAAGAACGCTCCGTTCAAGATCAATCAAGTCGCTGAAATTCCTTCTTGCTCCTCGAGCACTTTTCTTCGTCTCTGCTACTACCTGCGATCAGGTACCTCGAGTGGGATCCAATTCTTGTTTCTTGTGATTGACCTTTAATCTTGTGTCCAGTGTATAGTGTGCAATTGCACTCGTGCTAATCGTGTTACTGTTTGGTCACGTTCACAAATTATTTCGCGATCGAAGTCCATCGTGGAATCGTGGTAAAAGAGATGAAATGTAATCGATGTCGAGTAGCGTAGACTTAGTACAGCGACGAAAGAATGCGCTGTGTCTTTAGACTTGCACAGAGCGCAATGTAATGAAGTAGGGGTAACGGAGTTTTTGTAGTCGGGTAGAGCGGTTTTGGTGTTTGTGACTAATCAGTTTGTCGCACCCGCATTATTAGTGGTATGAGGAATGTGCTTGATTGTGTTTGGCAACGAGTTTATCCCTTTAGAATTTGTCGCCCGTAATACCACTTGCAACAGTAACGATTATTTTTTAACGGATTACATTCCGCACTTAGCGATTCAATGAAAGTTTTACTTAAATATTTGTTTATTTTAACTTTGAAAACCGCGCAGAATTTGACAATCTCTATTTCAAATTTGCAAAGTTTTATTTATTTTTATTTCTATTTACAAATATTGAGAAGTAATTTAATATTTTTTTCTATATTCCTAAAACAATTGTGTTTACTTTAATGTAATACTAAATATGACCATGCACAAATACTGGTTTTACGATGAATCCATCTCTCTGTGCTCTTTAAGATCGAACATTAATTAATCTTTCAGATATTTTTTTTATCGAATTTGTTCGCGAGAATGTTTAACTTCGCGTCTCAATTAAATTACTGTTCAGTGCCACTTGCCTCTGATTCCGTTTTTATTTTATCCTTTGTAACTAATTACACAACTCTCTTCTATCTCAGCATCTTCTTCTTCATTTATAAGTTATTAACACTTGTGAAATAAATAACAAGCAATACACACATTTAATAAACACATTTTCTTTTTACAAAGTAAAAATTGCACGCATCGAAAAATTAAAGTAAAATTTCTCTTTCTTTTTATTTTTTTTCTCTCGTGATTCACCGATCAAAAATGCATCACTTGTAAAGCAACACAAGTCAGCATGAGCGAACACGTATATCACACACGCTCTTTCTCACCGCTTCTTTTCTCGCGAGCTTCGAATTTTGATTTCCGATTCACTGCACTTATACAAGCGCCCGAGATATTTTCTTCTTATTTTACTGTTTCGCCGTCGCCGAAAATATTTTTCTCGTTCTCTTTCTCTTTTTACTTTGTCGATTTCTCGAAGAGTACGTACGTGTCACCTTTCTGACGATTTTCTTATAAGGCACGCCGTGCAACATTTTCAATACACCTACACTCTTTTTTCTCTCTCTCTTTCTCTCTCTATGATTCTTTTGATCACTCATCAACGACATAGCACACATATGCGTACCTCACACGTCGCCCTCTCTGCTTTTCTGTCCACAGAAAATGATCTTCATCATAATCTGCGTCGTAATATCGGTGGTCATACTAGCCGCCATAATAATAGGGTGCCTTCCTTCGAAATCCTAAACGGCCAAGGGGGTGTTTTTGAGGGGGGGAGAAGGAAGGGAACGAGGGAAAGGAATAGGCGAACGCTTGAAAATTTTCGAAGGCAAAGAAAGAAAGGGGGGAAACGAGTGCAATGCGGCAGCGAATATGTCATAATAATAATAACAATGTAATAATAATAATAATAACAATAATGCAGAAACTTAGTCGCGATCAGCCCGGGACGAAATGTATGAGATCAAATGTGCAGTGTGATCAGAAGGTGCGGGGGACATGGACACGTGGAGTAATAAAGGCGGTCGCCTACGCAAGCTGTGAACGTATCTTAACAATTGCACGTGTAAACTAAGTCACATAACAAAGCAAAAGCGCAGAAAAGGGGAGATGTGCTGCAAATAATAAAACGGGTGTCCCGCGCCGATCCTCATATAACACACGTCTCTCCGTGATCTTACGCCGATAATCCTCCGACTAATCTCTATAACGAACGACTAATTAACGTAATAACATCGCACTCATCGCATCCGCTCGTTTCGTTAACTGTAAGTACACTTCATTACATCGCTCGACATTCCTCCGGATCGCGGATATCTTGAGACAGTAATAGGAGTCCCGTCAATCGTGATCACGGGCTGCGGTCCCGCCGAGACGCGGCACAATCGCAGAATTTGCATTCCCCCGTCTTGCCGGTTTTACCTGCGCAATTGACAACACTGTGCTTGTGATTAACCTCGGAAAAACTGTAAGACGTAGGATTTCTGGAGGAAATTCGAGGTCAGCTGTACATTGTCGGAAATCGTTCATCATTTTACGCCGACCGATGTGCATTCATCATTCTTCATTTATTTCACAAAGTTGCGAGATATTCCTCTGACTTTCGAGACGTATGAAATTACTCGGCGAAAAATAACTCAGCAGCAATTTAGTTTGAATTTTTTTATTTTATATCTTTAGTAATTTAATATTCGATGGTAGACCAAAATATAAATATAATAATATATAAATAGAAAATTTATATGCTATTTATCAATTACGAACATATGAAATATCACAAGTTCACCGCAAGTTTGATCTTATAAGTAACTTGGAGATTGATTTTGCAAAAAGTAGACCTTTTTAGTAAAAATAAAATACGAGGTAGCAAAGACGTAAAACTTTTAGTGCATGAATCCTAGAATCCTAGAAATAAATGATAAAATTTTATTGCAGATTGTACTTTAACGTAATTCTACATAATCTGATGTTTATTGCTTTAAAAAATACAGATTAAATGTTAAAAAATCAAGAGAAAACAATGTTTAATAAAATTGGTGTCAAAAGAAAGTCGATTTCAAATTGTTCGAGAAATTCAAAAAAAGATAATAGAGAGAACGAAACAATACTAACCAAATAAATAACATTTATTAATCGTCGAATTTAACGATGAAAACATGCAGAAAATATCAAAATATATTGAGCTGTTAATACAGATGTGAAAAGCAAATATTACTGGTTGGATCAATGCAAATATGTAAATGTTTATACAGACACTTCTAATTAAGTATTTGACAATAATGAAATGCTGAAAATCGGAACTATTGTTACATCTCGAAGGCTCATTTGAAACTCTCGCGATTTCAGTTTCATTTGGAGAATCATTGTTTTGCTTTATTTCTTTCTCTTTTCGTTTATTTTCCAAGCGATCACGAAATGATTTTGTTTTGCAGAAATTGTTCCTGATAGTGGTCTGTGTGACAATAGCGGTCATCATTCTGATTATCATTCTGGCAGTTAGCTTTAGTTAGCTTAAGTACGCGCGTGATAAACAAATAAGCACACATTCGCAGAATAAATTTAACGATAAAAAGAAAAAAAGAAAAAGTCGAAACGGGATGCGGAAGTATATACTTTCAGTGCATTTCTCGTTCTTATCACGTCCTTCCGTTTTGAGGGACGACGAGCAAGGATCGTAATGGAAAATCAGCGCTAATCACGTCGATCTTTCCTGGAGAGTTTGGATAATACAATGCACGTCGCGGATTTTCCAGCTCTCGAGATGTCCTGCAGAAAGTCGTTACATTTATTGATTCTTAATAAATTTTATGCGTTTGTAAATTTATTATTATAACATTATCGATTGCGATCTCGCGCGGCGTGTCGTATCGTTATAGTCACAGATAACTAATCGTTTACTAAACACGGTAATTAGGATCCATTCTGCGGATGTAACTTCCTGGAGAACTACGTCCCGTAGACATGTGATTGTGAATGTCGGTGGAACGCTGGTAGAAATCAGGAACGGTGATGACACGAGCGCTTGAAGGCTCAATTATACAAAGTTGAGGAACGATCGCTTTGTCGAAGAGACTCACGGAGTTCTTTCTACTGCGCTTCGATACGTCGGAAAGTACGCGATATTGATTTTTATTCGGTTTTTTTTTTTTTTTTTTTTAAAGTAAGAGCAAAGAAAAATATTCTGTTCGCTGAAAATCCGATGTAATAGTTCGTATAAAATCGCGCAGCAATAACTCTTAAAATTTTCAGAAAATTAAACAATATTTTTTGAAAGTACTATCACGCATTGTGAGCGCGCGTCCAATTCTAGAAACGGTAATAAAAAAATATCGGGAGAAATTATCTCGAAGATTAGATTTCCTTTGGACTGAATAAATGAATATGCCATTGCCGATTGCCTTCCCTCGTATTCGAGCGCGCCGCCGCACTGCCTTTTGTTACTTTTTTCTATATTATTTTTGCCATTCGTTCTCTCGCTCTTCACCGTTCCGTCTAAGCGAAGTTACGACGCGAGTGAAAAATGAAGACGACAACTGTGCGCAATCGAGAATTACGCATGACGTACGAGATCAAAGTTGTGCGCCCTTTCCGAAGTTCTTAAAATAAAGTTTGCCGTCGATTTAACGAAAATCTCTCAGTTATTCAAAGCGGAATGCAGCGACAGCAAACAAATATACACGATTCTATTTATATTTTTTGTATATTTGTTATCTACAAATATTGATTTCAACCATATTTGTTTCGTTACATGATATCAGATGTATTTAAAATAATCAGATTTCAAAAATTACTTATACGTCAGTATATTTTTTGTCTATAATTCTCACTTTCAACCGTTTTTTGAAAGAGAAAATTATAGGTTTAATTGTGTTCTGACAAACGTTATTGTATTACAAATACGAGAGTTTATTTTTACTTTTCCAATTGGAATACAAAAAATATTTTTTGTTCAATTTTTTCTAAAATTACTTTTTTTGACATTTGGCTTGACATTGAAATTTTTTAATATTTAGCTGTAACAGTAGTCTATAAATTATATATATATATAATTATATGTATATCTTGAAAAATATTTATCTTAATCCGAGACGCAGCGACAGAGAGCAAATGTATTCGATACTTGATTCTATTATCTTTTTGTTGAAAATCAACACTTAATTCCATCATGTTTGTTGTCGCCGCAGAGTCGCTTGATATCACGAAATCAGCAATACTCTAGATAGCATGAGACTCGTCCGTGTTAAATCGGCGTCGTAACAGCGCGAGCTTGCGGAGACGCTTCCGGATTTGTCCCAGAACCGATCGATCGTTCCCTCGCGATATACGACAGAGACGGTCGCCACTTCCTCGTGTCGAGTACTTTAGTTCTCTTGTAGGCTGAGAATTCCGCTCTGCCGGAACGCTAATCTGCACGACGGTGACGTATCTCGCGAGGCACACATGCTCCGATGAACAAATATCGATCGCCCGAACTCTAATAATCACCGTCGTCGCAATGCAGACCGCACAACACAGTGCGGCGCGCGCATTATACATGTAAATAATTGCAATTTGTATAGAGTAGATAATAATAATGACGACATAAGGGGAAGGACAGGATGAACAATATATTAATTATTAACGTCGACAGCGTAGTAGGCATTTTCTTCTCTCTTCGGGTGTATATTCAAAAAATTTTTTTAAATAGAAAAGCAGCGGCTTGTTCACACACATGGCACGCCGTCTTGTTTTTCCTGTCATCCTCACTGTACTTGTCGCCTTGCAAAAGAAAAAAATAAGAATTATTTGCTAATTAATAAATCAGACGCGAATAAAACCGAGTGTAACAATAATTAACGCTGGTCGTTCGGATCTATGGAGTGGGATCAATTCACGCATATAGAATATCGCGAAGATAGCAGAAGACGATAGAATTTGTGGTGCATTTTGTACAAGAAAGAAGCAATGGCAGTCGGTCGTCAGGATCGATTCGCGGTAGACACCAGATGTAAATGGACTCGGTGAAACATTCTCTGCTTACCGCGGAGAAAGAGGGAAAGGGATGCGGGATGAAGCAAATTAGGAATACACGGAATAGAGAAGGCTGAAGTTGTGGCGGGAAGCTCCGAAGAAAGCAGACGCCAATGGCGAGGGTTAATGAAGGTTTGTATCTCCGTTTTTCCCGACGCTAATCTCATTGATCATCTTTGATTTTTCATGTTACTTTATCCTAGAAGTAAGAGTTACGAGATTTTAATTACTGATACGTCACAAAATGTTTCTACATCCCGAAGACCGATTGCATCAACGTTTACCGCTGAAAGTAATTGATTATGTTTCTTTCTCTGTGTATACAAAGCGTTCCAGATTTCCGATATCTTCTATCGTCTCCGAATTTTTTGACCAAATTGGAGCCAAATTTTTAAACACAATTAACGCAATTTGTAATTGCGCGGTCAATCAGAGTTTTCTCAAAAACTATTTGTAATTAAATAAAAAATAATTTCAAATAAAATGTAATTTATAAAAATTTATAGATTTTGTGAGTACAAATTTATCTCAAATTGATTTATAAAACTGTAGATGGTGGGGGAAAAAATCAAATTTGGAACGTTTTGTATAAGATAAGATTGTTAAAGTTAAGATCAAATCGCAAATTAAAGTTATGCATTTAATCAAAATTATTCATAATTCAAATTGTTGGTGCAATTCAACTTTCAAATCGAAATCTGTACGTGTCAAGATAGTCAGCTTCTATTCAGACGCAATTTCCGTCGAGAATACACTCGAATCAACGTCACGTTCACGCGTTATTTTTTGCGCAGGCTATCGCAACGTGCGTCACCCATGCCGGCAACGAGCAAGATCCAATTTCTTTCAGGTGCTCTACGGCACGATAGATCGATAAGTAAACAATTGTAATGTATAGCGTAATTGTAATGGACAGAGGTATTGAGCACACGAGCGAGATTAGGTTTGAAAATGAGAGAGAGAGAGAGAGAGAGAGAGAGAGAGAGAGAGAGATGAGAATAGAGAGATTTAGGGGAGAGCGTCGAGAGAGAGAGAGAGAGAGGAAGCTTTGTAATCGATTATATTAAATTTTTGCCGATCTGTTAATGCCGAGTGCAGAAGAAGATCATGATCATGATTTGCCTCGCCGTATTGGGCGTTGTCGTCGCCACCACCATCGGTGGATACTTCGGACTGTGAACGCCAAAACCAGGTACGTACCGTGACATCGTGTGACACTTGACATTTTGTTGTATCAGAAGCGTCTAGATGATAATAATCAAATTCGTACGGCGGACGAATAACCGTTCTGTTGACGTCGCAATACGACACTCGCCGTAATTGTAATTTCATTACTCGCTGCTATGCGAAATATTACACTTATCACAACTGACAGCTAACTGAAAGGAATTTTGTATTTTTGCACTCTGCATAGAAACACTCTGTAAATCATGCATGAGATCTCACACAATTCGAGCTGCAAAATACTTTTTTTGATAGACTTGACGTGTTCCATTGGACACCTTGCTGATGACACTGTCGATTTTTCCTCGAAAGTAATGCTTTACCGATCAATAACGGCGATAACCATTCGTATTGATTAGTGTACAAAATTCGCAACAAAGTTTGTTAGCTTTTCCCACTGTATACACTCGAACGATCTTTCTCCTCAGAAAAGTCCAAAGACAACAGCAGCATGTACCTAACTCCGAACCGCCGGCAGCGTCAGCATTCACTCATATCGTCCCGATACGTGAAGCTGATTGCCGTTCGGACGAGAGGAGATCGTCACCGACGGAGATGCCATCACCGTCGCGCTTCTTTCGTAACACCCATTATCGCTAGAGCCTTCAGTCTATCACTCGCATTCCCCAGCTCGACACGAAGGAAACCAAAGAGAGGAGAGATCATCCTTGTCGTCGACTTCGCCATCGTCGTCGTCGTCGTCGTCGTCATCGTCATCGTCGTCGCCACGTTCACGCCATCCTCGTCTCGGAAGCCTTCTCCGATAGTTATTGCGTTAGTTACGTTCGGTCGACGTGCAAATAGAGGAGAGAAACGGAGAAACAAGCATCCCTCGTTCTTTTGTATTCAAATTGTTAGCTCGATCGACGATAGATCCGCCTCCTCTAGTCACTCCCAGTCCGCATCCCTCGCCCCCTCGTCCACACCCACCCGCCCCGCGTCACGTCGAAATTCAATGTGCACGAAGCTGTCTTTGCGTGCGCGCTCTTCGCCGTCCCGTTTCCTCTCCTTCTGCCCGTTCTCCTCTCACGGATCACGCGGCAAAGAAAAGATAACAGACGACAGGCCTCGCCGAATGGAACGGGCTGAGAAAATCGAGGGATATTTGTCTCTCTAGAATTGCGGGCGGAACTGTCGATCGGCGATCGACGCACGCATCGCCGGTCAAGCGACATCTCCGATCGACGCTCCGACATAACGTCGTCCTATCATCGACAGGACGACCATTGACACGAGGACACTGCCGGTCGTTTTCCCCTCCCCCCTCCCCCCTCCCCCGCCCGCTCGCGCGCAAATGCCCCCGTCGAACGCCACGAGACATCCATCATAAAATGTGTTGCCGTTTCCGGCGATAACAATGCGACGCGTCCTTCGCGGTACTTCATCTTATCGCAATCTGAGCCTGATATCCAATGGCGCTTTTCTGTGTTAATG